TGTGTATTCTAAAATAGGAATGTATATCTCGTTGGAGTAAAAAGGAGAGTAATTACTGTCATGTTTTGACAGTATCAAAACATGACAAAAATTCATCTCACTTACCTATTTGGGACATCTTAAAAAAACTTTTCATTTCCCTTTTTGGAAAGTTTTGTGTGACAGTTGTGGCTATCACTCATTTGTTACCTTTTTTTACTCAATAACAATGATACATTTTCACTCTATTCTCATTTTCTTAAATTCCAATGCAAGTCAACTGTGAAGAATTTTATAGGACGGAGAGAATAATAATTTTCATTCCATATACATTTCAATTTTAAATTATGACATACTCGTGCATTTATTGTTTGTGAAGTGCATTGTAAGCCCGGGAAAGTTCCCGAATTGGAGTAAATAATGGCAGTACTTTTCAAACAATATAGTGAATATTGTCATGTGGATCCTATTTAAGAAATAAAAATATATAAGTACTGTTTTTGAATTCAAAAAACTGTTTACTCCTATATAGGGCAATTTTTCCGGTAAGCTCTCGAAATGTTCATCAATCATAAATATATAATGATTTGTTTAGTGAACCAGTATAGTAGATCTGTGGATGTATAACATTGGGTAAAAAGTGTTTCATTAAAATAAATGAAGGACGAGGGCGATGCAAACAATGCTGCAGCATCTCAGAACAAAGGAGCAAAGAGTTTTGGTTGTGTCTGCCCTAAGGCGCATCACTGTAACTTTGGCTAAAAGCGTTAATGGCCACCATGTCATCCAACACTGTATTAAATTCTTCTCTCATGAAGAGAAAAAGGTACCTACATTACAATGCAGCTGCTTCTTTTTCTTTTTGCAAAAGAAGAATTAGAAACACCCACATATGAGTTATATGACTGATATTGGGATTTTATACTCCTACCCTATATATTTGCAGCCATTATTGAATGTGATAGCAGAGAATTGTGTGAACATTGCAACTGATAAAAGTGGCTGCTGTGTTATCCAACATTGTGTGGAGAATGCTGATGTTCAATCTCGAGAGCCTCTCATTGCTGAAATTACTGCAAATTCCCTAGTCCTTTCTGAGCATCCTTACGGGTAACGTAAACATGTACCCTTTTTGTCTCATAAACAAGTTACTACCTCTGTCCCTATTTGAACTTCCCAATTTAAATATATATATAGCACATATTTTAATTATGGAAATAATTTTTCCCAAAGATTTCCTGAAATGCATTTTTAGTGAGGGTAAGTTTTACTATAGAAATACATTGTTTTGATATTGTTTGACCTAGTGTTGTCGATATTACTTAATGGCAGTAGAGTAAATAGATATAAATTTGTTTATCAGATAAGAAAAGTGGATTTTGGAAAGGGGAAAGCTTTTTAAGGGATGAAGGGAGTAATAGCTTCACATTCATGGTGTTTAGGAATAGAAGAGTGTTTTCTTCGACTTCCTTCAATGCCATTTTTACTCTGGATATTATTTTAGAATGCACTATTTTGCATTGGCACTACTCAATAGGGTTTCACACTATGTATTTACTACTTCCTCCATTCCTTTTTTTTAATTGCAACATTGGTGACATTTGCACTATTTGCATACTCTACTTTGACTACATTTTATTTATTAATGTATTACTCTCTTTGTATTTAAAAGTTCTCTACACTTTCCCTTTTGGACTGTATTTAAAAGTTCCTCACACTTTCCTTTTTTGGTATGTTTTTTTGTTTAAAAATACTCAATTACTCTTATTTTCTCTACTTTTTATACTCTCTTTCCTACTTTTTCTATACTATTCATTACCCCTACTATCCTCCCTTAAATCTTGTGACATAACCTAACGTAGACATCTTTTAAATACTGAGGGAGTATAAATTAAAATTTTTAAATTTATTGTTAAATTCTTCTCATTTTAAATTTTATGAATCTAATTTTTTTTAATTCTTTACTAATAAGGAATGAAAGATAGTAATGATCAAACTTGTGTGTTGACAAACGTGAAATGTAGAAGATCATTACAACTAAAAAGGAACGGAGGAATTTGACAAGATTTTCTTTACAAGAGGATTTTATTTAGACTTCCTAATAAAAAGGAGTAGATGAAATTTAAGTAGGGATGGTGGTAGTATGATGCATTAGATATTTGGATGGGTGTCTCTTTGGCTCTTTGCATGGATGCATTATATGGGTGTGAATGAATTGTTCTTAATGCATGCATACAATCATATATGCATGGATGTAGGAACTACGTGGTGCAAAACATATTGGGACTCAAAATAGCAGGAGTGAAAGAGGGTATCTTGAAAAGGCTAAGGGGAAGTTTTGTTTCTCTATCGATGAACAAATATGGGAGCAATGTGGTTGAGAAATGCCTGAAAGAGTTTGAGAGTGAGGAAACAATAGCGCAGATCGTACAAGAGATAATGTATAGTCCAAATCTGTTGATGCTTCTTCAAGACCAGTATGGGAACTACGTTGCCCAATCTGCCCTCGCAACATGCAAGGTTGGTTCCTTGATAGGTCTATTTTTGAGTGAAATGCATAAATGGTACATTAACTATTGTTATTGTTGTATTTTGGTAATTTAACTCTTAAATGAATCAAATCAATACCATAACTATACATAAATGTTTCAACTGACAATATTATTCAAATTTGTAGCCAAAAAATCATACATGGAGATCAAAATTTCATGTATAGAACTATAGTGTCTACCCTACACTGATGACATGAACAAAAGTAAGGTGGAGTACATAGACAAAATTTAAGAGCTAAGGTGCCAAACGCAACAATACAAATAGTTAAAGTACTATTTATGCATTTCACCCGTCTGTTTTTACTTGGTGGTGACAGTTTTTATAGAGTAAAATATTGTCATGTTTAAAGTCTGATACTGCATAATCTGACATCTATCAAACAATTAAACTACGAGAGATTTACAGATTCAGCCCATAATGTTTTTTTCCTTGGAGTGAAATTTTCTGATTTGTTCTTGTTTGATCTGTTCTGTTTAACTTTAATCTAGTTTGAATTGGTTTGGTCTATTAAAGTATGATCTGGTTCGTTTATATTCTGAATTGATCTGGTTTAGTTTGGAATTGAAATAAGTCCAATTAAAAACATCATAATTCTTGTATTCATCCATTATGCATCCCGTAATTTTGCATAGAACATGTCACGCAACTTATTAGTTTGTTCATTTATGAACTTTTCCGTCGAAATGTACTACTTCATTCTAGCGAAAAATCACTAAAAAAGCTTGTGTTGGAGTGAAATTTCTAGTAGAAACAGTTCATTCTGATGGAAAAGTTCTTAATACGGACAAAATCATTTATGTAAGTAAGATTAGAATAATAATAATGATTACGTTCATAATTTTGTTACGAGACTAAATACTGATTTTCTTCTCTTCACTCGTGGTGTGCAGGGGTATGTCCGGCAAGAAATGGTAACTCTGATAAACGGGCATTATAACTACTTGCACAGCCACCCATACGGGAAAAGAGTGTTGGCCAAAACAAGAGGAAATAAGCAAAACGAGTAATAATTTACTTATTAATGGAAGTTGGGGATCGGACTTCTATAACTAAGTACAATTGTGGTGTTGTCTCTGTAGGATCTTCAATTCGTGTTGTTCCATTCATTTATATTTCATCATTAGTAGATCGATGTAAAATAAAAATGTTTGTCGTTAGTATTGTTTGTAGTATTTGCTAGCAGCTTATAAGCTAGTTGTGGTTTGTAACTTGGTATGTATTCTCTCCCACTGTTGCCTTGTTTGTTGACTGTTATAATAAATCATTGTTGTGTGTCTAATATTAATGACATTTTTAATATTCGTGGTGTATCATTGAAATGTTGGGTTGACACTTTTTTTCATATTTTTTCCATTTAATTACCGTTTTGGACTATATTGCTCTAGTTACCGTTTTCAGATTTTTAATATTGCTCAATTAGCAGAAACAATCACTGTTCAGTTAGATAAACTTCTACAATAAACCAATAGATTGTAAGCATGTAACATGTTCACTAATGATCATGAAGAGTGATATACAGTATAAGATTAACATATTAAACATATGTGTTAAATAAGTGAATCAAATAATAAAATAACAAATATAAAGAAAGGGTGTGGTTCTACTAAAAACCATCCTTAGACTACAAATGGTCACTTTTGACCCAATTTGATTTACTTTAAACCACGTCTCTTGCACTTCTCGAGCTTTGATCGAGTGATGTCAAATTAAAAAAAACGGTGACATTTTGGTAAATAAGTTAAAATTTTGTGTCAATGCGGAAAAGTGCAATATAGAAATCCAATTGTGCATCACATTGGGAAAAGTGAACGGTTTACAATTTTCGCGGAGAAAAGATTTTTATTTGATCCGGAATCTATAAAGAAATTACCATATATTGAAATTGTTGATATTAGTAATTAGTAAACATGTTAACTAGTCATAGATTTATCCGCTTATTTCCATTTCCACTAGTATGATCGAGATAATCACTACAAGAAAATAGAGGTTTTTCCCACACACGGATGTGTAGGTAAAACTACGGTTATGTGTAGGGAATAACATTTACCCACACATAAACTAAGTGTAAAGATGTGTGGGTATCCAAAAGTAGGTAAAAGTTATTACCCACACATTAGTTTATGTGTGGGAAATATTATATTATTTACCTACACATTTATGTGTGAGAGAAACTGGGTATTATGTGTTGCTAATTCCTTTTGAAGAAACAGCAAGGTGACATGAATGCTGACGTGGGACATGACGTGGTTGCTGACATGGCTGCTGACGTGGCTGCCACGTTGGATTGTTCGTGTGTGGCTAATAAGTTATTTGTATGTGTGGGTAAACACTCTACTTAAGTGTGGGTGATACTGATTATGCGTAGGTAAAGCTACATTTATTATTGTTAAATTTACTTATATATTAACATAAATCATATATCTAAACTAAAATATAAATTGAAAATGAACTTCATCAATATCATATCAAAGGTATCCAAGAATTAACAAGGCAATAAAAAATCACTCAATATATATCCACTTTTCAAGTCTTACAACATCAAACATGGAAGTAAAAACTTGTTTATGTCATATGAAAGCATAATGGACATATCAATATTGTTTGTTGGCCTCCTTGATTCCCTTGACTGAGACTGCCTAATTGATACCAGGAGTGGCTCGGGTAGGATAAATGACTTCCCTTCTAGAACTGGCCAAATCATTTCCATCTATACTATCATGAGGAACAAGAACTGGGGCAATGAAACAATTATTGCTGGCAGATTCTTTGATTTTTCTGTTTGAAACTTTATGAGAATTCTGCTTCTGAGTGCAAAGAGGATCACTCTCCTTACAATTAGGTTGGGAATAACTTCAGAACAATGAAAAGAACCATCCTTCTTGATTGTGATAGGATCTTCACCTAAAATGAAACATTAAATATGAGAAATAGGTAAAAATATATGTAGTAATATACGGAGTATAAATCATACCAAATATGTGTATGAAAGTGCTTCCCGAATATCAGAATTAAGGAACAAAATCAAGATAGGAAAAATAACTTCTATCAAAAGTAAATCATCACACTATGCATTCTTTGTATCATACCAAATATGTGTATGAAAGTGCTTCCCGAATATCAGAATTAAACAATCTGAATCCATAAACCATCTTTATTACGGAGTATTATTTAAAATTTATAAACTATGTAATTGGGATTAGGTTTAGGACAGATTGATACATGGTCATTTATTTAATTATAAATAATTTAAACTATTGATAATTTAAGAAATTAAGATAAAAAGAGAAGGAAGAATAAAAGGAAACAAAAAAAAATTAAAACTTACCTGCGACGCTAGATAGTAGCGGAAGAAAGAGGATAGGAGATAGGGGAAGCATAGCAGAGGCAGAATATTAGAGAAAACTGGACACTAGTGGAGTCAGGGAACCTCACCCCATCCATATATAATACCTACCGATCTTTGGAACTAGATACATGAATCGCCTAGCTCGAACTAGCTATGTGAATCGCCAAAAAAAGATGAGCGGACACCTTCTCAGGAGCGCTAGAGGCGGACGCCTCTCGGATGCGCAAAAAGAGGCAAAAGGCACGGTATGGGGTGCGCCTATTAGAATCTGCTACGCCAGGGTCTTTTGAATGCGACATGCTCATCGCCTAGCTGCGCCTTACGCCTTTGCGCGCCTCAGGCGCATTTTTTTTAAACCAAGTTGGTCTTCACACAAGAACCATAGAGTTCAATTACCTAACATGAAAAAAGTAAAAACAACAAGGAAAAAACTTTTTGCAAGGGACGATATAAGGACAAACCAAAAGTTGGTCTGCTGATCAACTGTTGCTATTATGCTTGGTCTTCATTTCCTTTTCATCTAAATTAAAAACAGCACTAATCAGGATAAAAGGAAGGGGTAACATACCTCACACTTAAATGATCCAATCATTTCAAAGGTTTCCAAATAGAAAAACTTACAGTTTAGTCTACATAGCCTGTAAAAAAGTAGAGCAATGGTTTGAAAGCATAAAAGAGACAAAATATCCATGAAGGAAGTAAAATGTAAATCTTTATGTTTAAACATATCCACTGAATCCAGATATTTATAAATGACAAGATCGGTAAGAATGAAAGAAATAGATCCACAAGTTCCATGCCACTGCACAACATATGTGAGCTCAGATAACTTGTTAGCCCTTGCATCAATGCAATTTTTAATTGGCATTTAGTTCTTGCAATTTTCAATTGCACTACCTTCACCACCGTTGTTTAAGTGTCAACTAAATACAGGACAGTATAATGGGAAAAGTAAAAAATCCAAAATATTTAAAGAGAAAATCGACTAATTATTGTGCTTCACTATAACTATAGAAATGTATACCCATAAAGGGATTTTATGCACACCTGTTGCCAGAAGAAACTCAAGAGGATGGAAGTCGATCTATGGATCGAATATGCCCTTCATGTTTGAAATCAAGTAAAAATTTCCAGCCGTTAGATCCAATACCTGGTCAACGGTAAAAGGGTTCATGTGATAGTGAAAGCAAAGACAAATGAGCATATGTTCCAAAGTGGGCACAAAAGGGTACCTTGACAACATTGTCATGTCCTCTATAATGATCCCAGTCGAGAACCGCAAATGAACATTTAACTTTAGTTTGATGTCTTAAACAGGATAATGCTCCTAAAAGCATCTATGTTGTGACAGTGAGGAAAAGAAGAAAGCTAGAGGATTTATAAGTCCAGATTCATCTTAATCATTCTTCTCCTTTGCTCAATTGCAATAGTCAAGAAAATGAAAAAAAAAGGTAGAAATTATTTTAACAATATCAAACTGAAGCTCACTTTCAAGGTTCCATGAAAGCACAGCAGTAGCTAGCAACAACATAACTTCTATGAGTCTATGATAGTACTCGTACTAATGTATATGTACAGCTAGCTTTTCATTCCAATCATACAAATCAAACATTCAAACCTAGGTATGTAATATGCTTCTATGTGGAAAGTAACTAGATTTCTTAGTAGCTAAAGTGTCCATGGATGGCATTCATGACAAATATGAAGAAATGTTAGATTTAGCAGGTAATTATTTTATTTTTATAATTACTATGTTGTTTTATATGGAGAATTCATGTCCAATGCATATTTTGAATACATATTGCATTAATAAAATGAAACGAACAATGGTTTCACACTACAAACAATAAAAAGTCTATCACAATTAATTAATAAAGCATGGAATTCGAAAGGAAAAAAACCCTACCAGAATTTATGGAATTCCAAGGGGGAAGGCAAAGTTCGTCTAATAAGCAGTCAAGCAACATCAAAACGCGCACAGTATATGGAAAGAGGAAGCTATGCCTCCGCTGCATCTGCTCTGATTATAGAACAAAAAATAAGAGGATATCGATGTTAAAACAAAAAAGAAGAGGATTTCTCCACACCTATTTCACATCTTCTCTGCGTCGGAAGAGGAAGCTATGACGTTGCTGATTCTCTGCATCTGCGAACACGGCGTCGGACGGCCGGAGGAGTCTGGTCGCACTTTGTTCCCAAGATCGGCAAAGATGGTAGAATAACGAAGAAGGGGCCAGAGCCGAATGAAAGAGTAAAGAGATGAGTGGTAGGGTGGAGTTTAGGTGGGATCTGACGTGGGTGTCTTTGTTCTTTTCTTTTTTTATAATTGATAAATTTTCCTCCATTTAGCCACACTTTTTAAACATATGTTATTTATGTGTGTTTAATAACAAACTCATTACTTACACATAAATAAAAGTTTAAAAATGTGTCGGTAATTTCATACAAAAAAAATTCGCGCCGACGTTCCGATGAAAAATTGTCTCCCGCTAAGGTGAAAAAATTGAGGTAGATTTTCCCTCTAATTTTTTTTGTGGTGAAGAATTATTACTCACACATGATATGTGTAATTGATTGAGCCGGTCAAAATTAGTTAATTACCCACACATTACTAAATTATGTGTGGCTAAATACCCACACTTAATATGTGTAGTTATTTTATGTGTGGGTAAAACGTCTAGTTTCTTGTAGTGAATGGTAAACATCTCATCTTTATGTATTTTATAACTATCCAAGTCTGGTCTGGTCTGATATGATTTGGTCTAATCTGATCTTATTCGAAAACGGTCCAAATAAAAACGTGAAAAGGATTTAAACATGAAAAGCATTAAAATGAACGCATTGGTCTAAATAAGAGTATTCTTTAAACCTGGGAAAAGGTTACCTGGCGGAGTCACACGCCAAGGGGCTTATTTGTACGGTTCCGCCTGATCTTATTTACCCATTTACCAAGCGACGATATTAGGAAAGTGGATTTACTCAAAAACTAAACGAACATAGATGCTCATGAACTTTTTTAGATGTAAAAAAGATCAAGCAGCACAATCATTCACTGTTAAAAAACTAAATCAATCCCGGGCACGGTATCCATGCGAAGGGCTCTTCAAGTGTACAATTGTTTCAAAAACCACACCTCACTTTGTGTCCTCCGTTCCTCTACTTCTTCAACTGCAGCCCTAAAAAAAATTCACACTGATCAGACAAAATCTCTTATAAGCTTTAATTCCCAGATATCAGAAAATGGCCGAAAAGGGAACATTGAAGAGGCGGAGTCAATTTTCTTTCGCATGCCCACTACGAATGTTGTTACTTGGACAGCAATGTTGTCTGCGTACGGCCAAAATGGGCAGCTAAATAAAGCCCGGGAACTGTTTGACAAAATACCCCAACGAACTGTTGTGTCATGGAATGCGATGTTGACTGCCTATATGAGGTGCAGCTTTGATGTGGATGAGATTTTTAAGTTCTTCCTTGCAATGCCAGAGAGAAATGCGGTGTCTTTTGCAGCTATGGTCACAGGGTTTGTTAATGCAGGGAGATTCAGTGAGGCTGAGAAATTGTATCATGAGACTCCTGTAGTTTTCCGTGAGCCCGTCTGTTCAAATGCCATGATAAATGGGTATTTGAAAAATGGGAAGTTGGAGGAGGCAGTCCGGGTTTTCGAGAATATGAGGGGAAAAGACATTGTTTCATACAGTTCAATGGTTGATGGGTATTGTAAAAGTGGGAATTTTATTGAGGCTAGAAAGTTGTTTGATGCTATGTGGGAGAGGAACAACGTAACTTGGAGTTCAATGATGAATGGTTATATGAGGGCAGGGTCCTTTGAGGATGGGTTTGCATTATTTCAGCAAATGAGAAGGGAAGGTGAAGTGAGAGTTGAGCCAACTACATTGACTATTATTTTTGAAGCATGTGGTAAATACAAAAAATGTGAATTAGGATTTCAAATTCATGGATTGGTCTTGCAATTAGGACATATATGTGATGTTTTCTTAAGCAATTCCATCATAACCATGTATTCCAGATTTGGTTGTACCTATGCGGCTAGAAGTGCATTTGATGCAATGATAAGTAAGGATATAGTTTCATGGAATTCTCTTATCAGCTGTTATGTTCAAGGAGGAAGACTTGAAGAAGCTTATGAACTTTTTGTGAAGGCTCCAGAGAAGGATGTGGTTTCTTGGACTACTTTACTTATGGGGTTCACTAACAAAGGCTTAATTGAGAAGGGCCTTACTTTGTTCAAGCGGATGCCAGAGAAAGATGTCATTGCTTGGTCTTCTATGATTTCTGGCTTTGTTCACAATGCAGCATATGAGGAAGCTTTTTGTTTGTTTGTGCAGATGATTAAGAGTTCGGTTCGACCAAATCCTATAACTTTATGTAGTATGCTCAGTGCTTCAGCTGGCTTGGCAGTATTGAGTCAAGGCTTGCAAATACATGCCCATGTTCTCAAAATGTGTTTGGAATTTGATTTGCTGATCCAGAGCTCCCTCATCTCAATGTATTCCAAGTGTGGAAGCGTAAACGATGCCTATAGAATATTCATATCTGTCAAGGAACCCAATATTTGTATCTTCAATGCCATGATAATAGGATTTTCCCAAAATGGTTTAGGCAATGAAGCACTTCATTTATTCAAAGAACTGGAGGGTAAAGGTGAAATGCCTAATGCCATTACCCTTCTTGGAGTTCTGTTAGCCTGCACACATTCCGGGATGGTAGAAGAAGGATGGAATTACTTCAAGTCAATGATGTCATTATATATGATTGAACCGGAGCTTGATCACTATGCAATCATGGTTGACATCCTTGGTAAAGCAGGTTTGCTTGATGAAGCAATGAGTTTGATCAAATCAATGCCACTTGAACCCCACTCCGGGGTTTGGGGTGCTCTTCTCAGTTCAAGTAGGACTCACTTGCGGCCTGATCTTGCAAAGGTTGCGGCTGAGCATATTTATAGATTGGAACCAAGTAACTCAGCTCCTTATGTTGCCCTATCAGACATGTACTCTTTCATGGGGCAAAAAACGGATGAGGAACAAGTGAGGTTGGCCAAAAGATTGATAGGGATAAAGAAGAGCCCGGGTTGCAGTTGGATTTTGTTGAAAAACAGTGTCAATGTATTCCTTTCAGGAGACACGTCTCATATAAACTTTATTGAGATCAATTTAACATTAAGGATGGCTACTGATCAAATCAAAAGATTATGCTGTACAGATGATGATGATGATGATCTACTGTGAGATATTATCAATAAAAGCGATCATCTTTGTCATTCATTGAATTATTTCAGCTGAACATTCCTCTAATGTACTGCGTAATTAGCTCAACCAACACTCAAATTTATAATTTATGATGACGAGTTTGGTTGATCCTGCAGCAGAAGTATATCTAGTATTTTCCATGCCCTTTTTAAGTATTATACTATTATTCTTCTTCCATCTGTTGGAGATTTAGTTCACAAAATTGGGATACTTTATAGGGAAAACTATCAAATAAGCCCTCGTACTATGCCAAAAAGTCGATTAGGTCATTCACTACAATAAAATTGATTTGTAGAGGCACATAATAATTGCCTCTAAAAATAGAAAAGTAGCCTCTAATGCCTTTTGGAGGCAATTTAGTGGTTGCCAACAAATAGTCCGTCGCAAAACGATGGTGGCCTCTAAAAGAATCCTTTAGAGGCTAAAATTAGCTTGCATCTAAAAGTTATCTTTGGAAACAACAATACCCTTCCGCCTCAAAATGTCATTAGAGGCAACCATATTTAAGGACTCAAAATGTTATTGGAGGCCTCATTATATACAGTATTTAAAGATTATCAAATGCAACTTTAAGTGTTGCCTTGGAAGCCTTTTAGAGGCAACTCCTGAAGTAGGACTAATTAGAAAATTCCGTGACTATTATTATATTTATGCCAAATTTCATATCCTTTTTTATAAATGATAATATATGCTAAAGTTTAATATAAATAACTTACAAAGGTAAGGCTTTATTTACAGTATAGCACTGAATATCAAAATAAATTTTCTTTTACTACCTGAATGTAATTTGTACAATCTAATCTACATCTCCATGTAAAACAGAACTAACTAGAGCTACTAAAACATTATGAGTTAACAAGATAAATAAAAATTCTAGCTTCAAAGAAATACATTGATTTAGAGAGATTCTTCTTCTTCATTTTCATGATCTTCATCTTCTTCTTCATCTTCTTCTCTTACTCTTTGTTCTCTTACTCTTTGTTATGCTCCTTGTTCACCTAGGATATTGTAAATTATATATAAGTAGCTTAACAATTATAGAAAAGTTATTAACAAAAATACTACAGAAAAATTAATGCAAAACTCATTCTCAATAAACTTACAAAAATCACCTCTGATAAAGTCTGCAATTACAGCTAGACAGCTAGTATATCCGACCTGCTAAACATTTGTCAGCTAGTTTTTTTGTGTGCATAATCAGACAGTAATTGTTTCGTGTAGACTCAAGTGGCCTAATTTTATTAATAAGAAATGAATAAATTAATAAAAAGAGAAAGAGAAAAACTGCTTTTGACTTTGTAATACAAATAATCTAGAGCTTACACAACAACATTCATCAATACCTCACGAAAGCCAGCCTTCTCCAACTCATGAATCCTGACGATGGTGGTGCCACCAGCTGGGGCTACCTCATCTTTAAGTTGACCTGGGTGCTTCCCGCTACTGGCCACCATGGTTGCAGCCCCCAGTAGGAGTGGGCACGGTTGGTTAACCGTATTGCGGTTAACCAACTTATGGTTAACCGAGATATCGGTTGGTATATTTATAATACCATTAACCGTACCATAACAACGGTTAACCGGGTAAACAATTAACCATAATATAGGTTAACCATTTATTGGTTAACCGAAAAACCATACAGGCTCTCTATCATCAGTTTTGTTGTCACCCAATAAATTACATTTACGTATTGGCAGTTTGCAAAGTTATTTTTAAAGGAGACCACGGAGGCTTGAACTATTATTGTTTCTAAAATAATGACTTGGAGTAGTAGTATAATACGTACGTAATACGAAGTACGTAGTTTGATTTATGGTTGTACACGGATGTGCTGTAATACGTATTATATAAATAAAAAAAATGATTTGAAATATGCATTTCCAAAGTTGAGAAAATTGCTTCTATGATTTTGAATTCTGGTTTGAGTAATCCGTGAAAAATTCAATTTTGAACTTAAAATGAAATTGTAAGCCAGAGTTCGAACATAAGATTAAATAATAAATCTAAATTGCAATACAATATTTGCAGTTTGCAA